CGTGTTTCGTGTCCGGGTTCAAAGTGACCACCAATAAAATTCAAAACGGAGTGTGCTCACGGTACGTGTGGGGTCCACCTAATTGCCATCTAATTGCACCTGCTTATCAACTATAGTATAAAGCCAATAAAGCGAATCCTAGCCCAGATAAGCGATTAGCCTTTTGGCCTGCGAGCCAGTGATAATGTCAATTTGAATACTTGGGCAAAAACTAAATAATCCCGGAATTCATGTCAAACAAAATCTGCACTTTGCCGCCCTGATTCCGATTTCCAATTTAAACAAAATCAAATAAATGATGCAATTCGGTGAAAAATTAAGCGAGACTTCTGGCTTAGTGAGTGATAAGTGCACCTGTCGCGCTGGCATATTAAATTGCAATTTAATTGGGGCAGCACGTTTAAAAAGCTGAATCGTTAAATAAATTCATTTAAATAAATATGAAAAGAAATCTTTTTTGGTCAAGGCTTTCAGTTAGGGTTTACTTTTTTTTGGGAATATTAATAGGCTTTAAATAATGGAGAGTGCTTAAAAAAATATTTATAATTTATGTATATATATTTCAAAGCTATAATTTTTAAAATTTAATTTTTTTACTTGCAGACAAGACTAAAGAAAAACTTAAAAAACGTTGATCATGTATCATTCAAGCGTATAAAACAATTGCAATAAATAACAACATTCAAATACGTTTCTGAAAAGTGCTCGAAGAAGGCTCTAAAACGGCAACAATAAGTGAAAACTGCTGCAATTCTATGAGTTTTGTGAACCTCAAAGACACAATTATTGATGTTTTAATGCTGCCAAATAGATAGCAATCAGCCCCAGCCGATAAAAGTAGAGTGAAAAGCCCAAGTAGCCGCCACATATTGAATATTAAAGATTTCAATTTCAAAAGCAAGTGAAGAGAAAGTCCCTAAGAAATGACTAAATACTTTATTACTTTGGTGCTCCTAATGTGCCTGGCTTTGGAGAATAGGAATGTGTACAATCGCCTGCATGCCCGATCGCATCCCAGTTCCCGCGGCGACATCCTGCGTCCGAATCCCAAGCACCAGTCGCATCCCCATGTGCAGCACACCTCGCAGCAGCTGCAGCTGCAGCAGGAGCACCACATCCGCCAGCAGCGATCGCGGCAACTGAAGCACCTGGAACCGGATCCGAGCGGGGAGGACGATGCACCGATCACCAAGCAGGAGTACTATGCCCGCCTGAGGCGTCATGTCCTTAAGAAGACGCAGGACCTCATTCAGCAGGAGCTGAGCTACAATCATCCCGCCGGGGAGCAGTTCAAGGTGCCCCGTTTGTGGCAGCATCTCATGGAGCAGGAGGAGAAGTCGCACCGCCATGAGATTGCCACGGAGGAGGAGGTCGAGGAGTTCCCCGTCATGTTTGGAGATGCCCCCGACGAGTCATCATTCTCCGCCGAGGAACTCTCACCCTTGGACTTTGTGCGAAATGAACTTTTGGCGGAGGAGGAGAAGCAGGAGCGGCAGGAGAAGGACTCCAATCTGGAAGTGGAACCCCAGGTTCCCATTGTGGAGACCGAAAGTCAGGATCTGGGCGAGAGAAACATCACCATCTCAGTTAAATCCCGTAGTGGTGGATGTCCCAAATGCGAAAGCAATCGCCAAGTGGAACACATCACCGAGGAGCAGTTGACCCAGCTGCGCATCGAGTTCGTCAAGCAGCAGATTCTGGAGAAGCTCCGCCTCAAGGAGAGTCCCAAGGTCTCAGCCGTGGAGCTGCCTAAGCCCATCTTCGATGGCATGACCCTCTCCCATCCGGATGACAGCACCAAGAACAAGGAGCTGGACGATTACTATGCCAGGACTAGCAAAAAGTTCATACTGCTTAATAGAGGTAAAAAATTATTACATTTAAAACAAAAATTCAAATTGAGTTCAATTTTCATAAAATTTTACAAAACAAAAATTTATAAAAAATTGTTGTTTCAAATTTTAATGATTTGTAGATTTGTAGAGAATCTAACCAAATAAATAAATTTTTGAAATCAGGAAAGGGAACCATAAAGGAGACTTAATTTTAATGAAATTGCACATAATACAAATTTTTAATAAGTTCTTTGTTAGGAAAACTAAAACATTTCTTAAACATCTATTTTTGTCAGGAAAAATGTCTAAGATTTATTTTTTTGATTAAATATGTAGATAGTCCTACCAAATACATATTTCGTAAAGTTAGAAAAGATAAACTGAAATGATAATTAATATAGGACTTCTTAAAAGTACCTAAAACCTTTTTTTTATCTTTTTTGATTGTACAGATTAGCTAACAAACTTTAATTATTTTTTTTAAACTTATGTGGAGTACGAATATTATTTTTTTTTTTAATTCCACAGACTAGCCAACAAAACCTAATTAATTTCTATAACTTTTTACAGAGGAGGTCGAATGCAATCGCTTGGGCGGTGGAAAATCCAACCCGTCCATGTGCTTCAGCTTCAAGATCGACGATGCCGATGCCGAAGGCTTCGATGTGAGCACTGCCGTCCTGTGGCTTTTCAAAAACAAACAGAATCGCACAGATGAAGGATCGGAGTCGGAAACGGGTTCTTTGAACAGCACCAGTTCGCAGCAGACGATTGTCGTTTCCGAGGTGGAGGTGAATCCGCAGCAGGACTCCAAGTATTTGACGGCCACCAAGACCATAGCCATCCAGTCGGTGAATGTGCAAGGTTAGTATATGTTATACTTAAACGATAATCTCCAGAAACGTAATCATCCGCTAAAAAGAAATGAATCGCAAACGTTTGGACCTTTGGTCGACAGCTAAAACGAAAACGGAACGAAACGGAACGTCCAAAACTGACCCCCAATACCCTCATGGAGAGAAATCAAAATCAGTGACAAGTCCTCTATACTAGATGGTTATTATAATAATTATACTGACCGCCATAGCCGATAAGTGGAAACGATGACAACCGCTGTTTGTGTTTTTTCAATTCAATTAGACAGATCATTGGGCAGATTCGTGATAGCTCACCAAACCGAATCTTGAATCTTGAATTCATGTGGGTGAATAACTTGGCAAAATACAAATATTTGTGGGTGCAAAAGCTGAACTTTGGCCAACAAACGATTGGACAACCCCCCGAAAATTGGGAGTTCCTGGGGTCAGTTTGGCTGATAGCAAAAGTTGCTTGAAAAATATTGTGATTCAAATGAAAACAATGCTTGCCTTCACTTTATTAAGCATACATTTCAATGATTTATTATTTTTTCTGAATATTTCCAGATGAGTGGATGAAGATCGACATTGAGTGGCCCATCAAGCACTGGATCAGCGGTCACGAGCTGAGCCACCTCATCCAGATTTCGTGTGGGGGCTGCGAGGTCAGCAACATGGAGGAGATCATATCGGTGGACAAGGATTACCGGCCCTTCATCATGATCGATATGCAGAATAGGCGCCGGAAGAGCCGCCAGAAGCGCAGCATCAACTGCTCCAGCGGAATGACGGAGTGCTGCCGGGAGCACTTGTACATATCCTTCCGGGACATCGGCTGGAGCAACTGGATCCTGAAGCCGGAGGGCTACAATGCCTACTTCTGTCGCGGATCCTGCAGCTCGGTGGCGAGTGTCACGCAAGCGGCCTCCCACCACAGCTCCATAATGGTAGGTGTCTAAATTAAATTATGGGAAACTTTAGCTTGATTTAAGATTCGTTTTTCTTTAGAAATATAAATGGGTTTTTTATTTAAAAGATTGAGAATTTTATTTGGATTTAATAGCACTATCAGGAATTTTAAGGAAATTTATGCTAACTATTTTTATAAACTTTGCATAGATATTTAACAATTTAAATAGTCAGTATTGAAATATTCTCAAAAAGATTATTAAATAAGTGATATTTTTATTTTTATTTTGGTATTAGATTCGTTTTTCATTTGAATTTTATTTAAATTAAAAATGTTTTCTTAACAATCTTTTAATAATAAAAATGTGCAATATTGATTTATTTTAAATATATCCTGTCAATATAAAAATATTATCAGAAAGAAAATAAGACTAGTTATATTTTGGGAAAAAAAAGACCTTTGATATAATTTTCGAACAAATCACTAATAGATTTCTTATTTTTTTTTACAGAAAATTCTCTCCACAAGCGGTGCTAACAAGTCGCTGGAGTTGGTGCCCTGCTGCACCGCCAAACAGTATTCCTCGCTGCAGCTGGTCGTGATGGACTCGAGTAATACGGCCACGGTGAAGACGCTGCCCAATATGGTGGTGGAATCTTGTGGCTGCAGATAGTCCTTCCATCGACTATATCGATGGCCACTCACTGGCCAGCCATCCATCAACCAAGCTACATTTACATATCGGACAAATTAGACCTAGACTCGCTCCATTTTAGATAGCATTCAAACTACACATTTCTCTTCAATTAATTTAAACTCATTTGCAAAGCATTTACATTAGCGTTATTATTTAATCGTAATTATATGTAGTGCATGTGCTGCCACTAGTTGTAGTCAAAGCTAAAGTCAATGTACTTAAGCACTCGAAGTATGTAGTTAGTTAGCAAATAGCTCCAATTAATATAGTAGCGTTACTAAGTGCTATCTTTAATTATGTTACGCAATTAGTTTTATTGTTTAAGTAGCGTTTATTGAGTTATTGGCAGAGAAAAACATAAAGAAAAACAGAAAATAAAACAATATTAAAATACGAATTAAACATTTATGATTTAGTTTTGTTTACGGTACAAAATACAGAGTTACAGGGTAGGAAACAATGTGAAATTTTGACTTTATAATGTGCATAATTGACTAAATGAGCTTTATTTTGTGACCATTTTCTAGCCAATTTATGATGGTTTGGCAAACGAAATTTATTGTAGCATACTTTAGGGGTAAGCAAAAAAATGTGAAGTCGTTTGTTTGTTTTCTTTACAGTTTGAGTTGCACTGCATTTTCAGGCAACAGTATTTCAATGAAAGTTTAAAGAGAAACTTAGCAATAGAATTATACACCGTGCGAAAGCTTTCTCTTATCTGGAAATGGGATCTTAACATTATTTTTCAGTTTACAAATATTTTTCGTAAAACGTCACAGAGTATTGTAATCACTGTAGTATATTTTATTTTATAGCAAATTGCTCCAAATTTTAAAGTTATCTTTTGTAACCTCTAATGTCGTACTCCGCGAAAACGGTGCTCAAGGAGGGCTCCACGGAGCTGGAGCACATCTGCGAGCTGGACATCTCGCAGCAGGCCACCCACCAACGTCTGGTGTCCTTGATCGCCACCATATCCCTTGGTTCTCGCAACGCGGACATCATATACAGCATGATCATGAAGGGAGTGAACATTTTCCGGCTGAACTTCTCTCACGAATCGCACGAGATGCACTCGAAGACTATTGAGCTGATTAATGAGGCGCTGGAGCGGATTCACAAGGAGACGGGTCAAATACGAACGGTGGCCATTGCGGCGGACACGCGAGGACCTCAGATCCGAACTGGCCTTCTGGATGGTGATGTGTTCCTGCGTGCCGGCGACAATCTAAGGCTCTCCATCAATCGGGATCTGTACGACAAGGGCAACAAGGAGGCGGTCTATGTGGACTATCCCAATATAATCAATCTAACCAAGACGGGGGACCGTCTGTTCATCGACGATGGCAAGCTGCTGCTCCACATTATGGAGGTGGGCGTGGATGGGCTGCTGTGCGAGGTCATCCAAGGTGGCCAGCTGAATAACAACTGCAATGTGATCCTGCCCGAGATCGAAATCGATTTGCCTGCCGTCTCCGAGAAGGACATGTTCGACCTGCAGTTCAGCATGAAGGCCAATGTGGACTTCCTCTTTGCCTCGGCGGTGCGAAGTGCCAAAAATGTAAAGGAACTGCGAACGGTGCTCGGCGAGAAGGGCAAGCACATCAAGATCATCGCCAAGATGGACAGTAAGATAGCACTGAGCCGCTTCTCGGAGATCTTGAAGGCGGCCGATGGACTTTTGCTATCCCGAGCGGACCTGGGCACTCAGATACCCATCGAGAAGCTGTTCATCACCCAGAAGAGCATACTGGGGCAGTGCAATAAGGCCGGCAAGCCGGTAATAGTGGCCTCGCACATCCTGGAGTCCATGCGCTCAGTGCAACACCCGACGCGGGCCGAGTGCTTCGATCTGGCCAATGCCATTATAGATGGAGCGGATTGCATAATGCTGTCCTCGGAGGTGGCCATCGGTGCCTATCCGAAGGAGACGGTGGCCACCTGCGACACTCTGTGCCGCGAGGCTGAGAAGGTCCTGTGGTTCCGGGATCTCTTCTCCGACCTGGTCAGCGAAGTTCGTGGCGAGTTGGATGCGGCCCACTCTCTGGCCATTGCCTCTGTGGAGACGGCCAAGAGGACCAATGCCACGCTGATTGTGGTCCTCACCACCTCGGGTCGATCAGCCACCTTGGTTAGCAAATTCCGGCCACGATGTCCCATTTTGGCCGTAACCCGGTGCGAACGGGCCGCCCGTTGGGTCTACATGCATCGTGGCGTTCTTCCGGTTCTCTACACCTCGGAACCTAGCTCCGATTACGCCACCGATGTGGACGCCCGGGTGCAGTTCGCCCTGACCTCGGCCAAGAAGTGGAACATCATCGACGACGGCGATCCCATTGTGATCGTGAGTGCCTGGAAGGACGGTGGCGGGTTCACCAACAATGTGCGCGTGGTCTACGCCTTTTTCGAGGCGGACCGTGTGGACTGCCTCTTCCGGTCGGATAGGCGAAGATCCCTCAAGAACACCAACCTTCAGATGGCCAACCGTGAGCCGGAAAGTAAGTACTGAGGGTAGGGTGCAATTAATAGATTTTTTTTTTAAATTTAAACCCCAGAAAAATTGCAAAAAATCGACCCGAAAATACAATTTAGAGCACTACTCCACAATACTTTAAAGACATACCACTTCCAAATCGGAAGCTTAAAAGAAAAGTTATAGAATTAACACTGTAGGTTTTTGGTCACTTTTCTGGGACTATATTTTTCGCAAACGATTAAGGAGTTATATCGTAAAAATTAACTACTCAAAATTTCAAAACAAAATTTATATGCACAAGTTTAGAGACTTAAGCCACAATTCTTTAAAGATATACCACTTTGAAATCGGAGGCCAGGAAGAAAAGTTATGGATGTAGAACTGCATGTTTTTGGTCATTTTTCTGCAAGGATGATTTTTTCGGAAATTAAGAAAGGGGTTACATCATAAAAATAGAAAAAAATCGATCCGAAATTACAAACCAAGTTTTAAACGCAGATTTTTAGAGCACTAAGCCACAATACTATAAAGACATACCGCTTCGAAATCGGAAGCTTAACAGAAAAGTTATAGAATTAACCCTGTAGGTTTTTGGTCACTTTTCTGGGACTATATTTTTCGCAAACGATTAAGGAGTTATATCGTAAAAATTAACAACTCAAAATTTCAAAACAAAATTTATATGCACAAGTTTAGAGACTTAAGCCACAATTCTTTAAAGATATACCACTTTGAAATCGGAGGCCAGGAAGAAAAGTTATGGATTTAGAACTGCATGTTTTTGGTCACTTTTCTGCAAGGATGATTTTTTCGGAAATTAAGAAAGGGGTTACATCATAAAAATAGAAAAAAATCGATCCGAAATTACAAACCAAGTTTTAAACGCAGATTTTTAGAGCACTAAGCCACAATACTATAAAGACATACCGCTTCGAAATCGGAAGCTTAACAGAAAAGTTATAGAATTAACCCTGTAGGTTTTTGGTCACTTTTCTGGGACTATATTTTTCGCAAACGATTAAGGAGTTATATCGTAAAAATTAACAACTCAAAATTTCAAAACAAAATTTATATGCACAAGTTTAGAGACTTAAGCCACAATTCTTTAAAAATATACCACTTTGAAATCGGAGGCCAGGAAGAAAAGTTATGGAGTTAAAACTGCATGTTTTTGGTCACTTTTCTGCAAGGATGATTTTTTCGGAAATTAAGAAAGGGGTGACATCATAAAAATAGAAAAAAATCGATCCGAAATTACAAACCAAGTTTTAAACGCAGATTTTTAAAGCACTAAGCCACAATACTTTAAAGACATACCACTTCAAAATCGGATGCTTAAAAGAAAAGTTATGGAATTAAAACTGCAGGTTTTAATTCAGTCTTCTTTAAAGTAATTTTTCATAAAAATTTTGAATGGGTTATACATTTTTTAAAGTGTTCTGCATCGTCCCGCTCCAACAAAATTTTTAAGCTTTTTATCTACACATTTTTATTGCAGCGGGTCGAATAAAAAAATTAAGTGTTTTTATTTAGTCAAATGCGTAATAATTTTTTTGTTACAAAGTTTGATATCTGAAATTTTTTGGGTATAAAGTGCGGTTTTATTTATCTCGTTAAGAGGTGTTTTAATTATTTTCTTTTTACAGTAAAGAAAAGTTTCCATGCGTGATGTCGTTTACAACTGTGGTCCGCCGAAAGAGCTGGAGTTTTTCAATATATTTTGTAAATAAAATATTTAGAACATTAACATAATCAAAATAAAATTATCATAGTTTGTTTAATTTCTCTATATTTTGTCTGCTTTAGTAGTTATTGATCTTATGTCTTGATAATTGTAATTTTGGCTTCGCCTTACATTATAAAAAAGTGGTCCGGAGAAACGATGGTTTCAATAGAACGAGTTTTAAAATGTTTTTTACCAATAATATTAGAAGGCCGTATTAAGAATAAATAGATATTTGAACAGGAGCTTCATTAAATAGAAAAGCATGTTTTGTTGATCATGTACTTTTTATTCCTGATATTTTGAATTAAAACAATTCTCTGATTGAGCATTTTAATTATTTAATTATTAATCTGCCTTATCTAATGTTGTTTATCTGTACAAAATTCTAAAAGACTAAGCTTATTCTAGTAAAATTTTGTGACATACTTAAGCAGTACGAGGGAATGTAAGGCATTTCTGGAAAACTCCCAGGAAAAGAAAACTAAACGTCCGTACTGCTTTGGTGTGTATAGGCGCAATCCATGATTGACAAACTCCAAAACTCCAAGGACTCGGCAGCGACGCCAAAATGTTGATTGTGTCATCTTACTAAAAATTAAACAATAAAATCTGCTGATGAAAATACAATATAATTTGACTTACAGCTTGAACAGGGGCGAGGCAAGCGCCAATCCCATAAGATTTCCCAGATCTCGGACAATTTGAAAAATCGGGCTCGCCTCGTGACGCATGTAAGTGGGCTCAGGGCACCATTTAAAGGCCTAGAAAACAGGTACTTTATTTAACAACAGTAATATAGTTGCATATTTATGTGATTCACCTGTCGCACAGACCAATGGGGATCCATCTCGAGACGCATTTTGATAAGGAACACCGCAATTGCCAATCCTCCCAAAAAGCAAACAATCGTAATCATATATATACGTGATCGGGAGAACAAATATTTGTTGTTGCCCTCGAAGAAATTGAGGGCCCTGATCCCGAAGTAGCTGCCCAGGATGCACTGGTGGAGAAACTCAGTGGCCAAATAAAGGCGACTCAGCCACATGCAGACCACCACGAAGACGATAAGCGGATACATTATACAACGGAACAACGGCGATCGCCATGAAACGAATCGATCCCAGCAGTGGACAAAGAAGAACGAAGACAGGATCAGGACGAACACCGTGAAGGTCATCGAGTGGGCGCAGGGCAGCCCACCGCTCGTCTCGCAGCTCAGCTGATGACTCTCCAATGCCACCTGCGGCTTCACGGCCAGCTTTTCATTGGCAAACTGCTCCCGCAGAAACCACAAAGGTCGTATCTCCTGGAAAATCCTGTTCAAACAAAAAAAAACATTACTTATCTTTTAAACCAAAAAATTATATTTAAACACGATTAAGTATTTTAAATTGTTTTTATAATTTTTGTATGCAAATATCTTTTATAAATCCATTAAAATATCACCTTAAAAATTGTATTTGGTTATTGGTTTTGTAAATGTAAATTTTTTTCCAAAAGAGAAACTAGATAAATGCTTCTTAACATTACTTACCATTTTTCAAAGGAGTTTAGAGTGCTGACCAGAGTAATTGCGGACAAAAGATGCAAAAGCATATCTTGACCAAAGATGCCGCCCAGCGGAATAAAAAAGTTAAAAAGATTGTTCGGCTCCAGATTAACGCTGAGAAAACGCCATAGAGGCTCAAAGAAACTCAAACTGCAACAAAAATTGTTAATTTCCAATGCTCAACCGAAAAAAAGGAGAAATACCAACCGTTCTTGGGCCCATTCGTTGATAAACAGCTCCCGATTGAGCGTTAAGTTGTAGCTTTCCTCTGCCAAGTGCAAGAAGGCCTCCATTTCTCCTATTTAGTTTTGGATTTGATTTATTTTTCTTACTGACACGTTTCTGTTTACTGCTTACAGGCCAAGTGAAATATTTGTTATGGCTTGCTTGTTTGCCTATAAACATCCTTAATCAGCTGTTTACTGCGTCTGCGCACTTTTAAGCTACGGAGTGGTGGCAAAAATGTTGAGCAATAGAGCAAAAATGCCACTGGTTACTAAAAATGATTGTTATTTTTTGAAATTCCAACAAATTACAACTTTTGCAAATTTTTTTGTTTACATGTAGATTCAATTTTTGTTGTGACTACAAAACAGTCAACCATTTAAGCATCTGCTAAGCTTCGTTTGAAACCATTGATTATAAATATAGTTAATATCTAAAAAAGACAAACAATTTTAAAAATGAAATTTTTTTTATATTTAATTTTAACCATAAACAGAGGGCATACATTTTTTGTCATTGATCCCCAAAAAATAAATGCACTTAATGTTTTACGTATAAAGATAATTGTAAATTTTTAATAAATAATGTGAACGGTTTACAAAAACTGATAACAAATCATATTTTCAATAAATACACATATACATACATACACATATATAAGTAGAGGCCTTTCTGTTGTTTTTGTTGTTGTGATTGCAGTGATTTTGTTACAATGGGATACATATTTTCATAATGCACTAAACAAAACTTGACTAAATTATGATTGTACGAGTAGCCTACGATTAAGGGATAAGCGAGTTAAGTACATTGGAGCAGCCGAATTCGCTAAAACTAATGAATGATCCTTAAGATTACAATTAACTTTCGTTGAGCGAGACGGGCAGGTTAATAAACGAGGGCAGGTGTAAATGTGGGTAATCTATTCAAATATCTATCCAAAGTTCTCGAAGTGGTGAATGAAATAGGGCAACTTGCGCGTTTTATTCACTTCATCACAGGCAGACATCACACTTTTGGTCAGCGGTCTAGGACCGCAGGAGAAGACGCCTATTTTGGAGACCTACGATAAATTATATAAACGATATTATATTATTTACATTTTTAAGTTCGGAAAATCAAAGAAAACTCACATAGGAGTGCTTCTTTTGGACAAACTTCAAGAAGCTGGACATATCCGGGCGACCAAAATGATTGACCGCCTTAAGACCCGTGAAAATTGAGGTCTTCGACAGCCGTTGAAAGTGGTTCTCACAGATGTACTAGAATAAAATAAATATATTGTTTAGTCAAGAAAATAAAATTGTATCAGCAACAGCAATACAAGCTTACAATTAAATTATGTAAATCTATTTTTAAAACTCTTTAGATTAATTTTGTAGAGTCAAAAAAGCTGGAACTGATGCATCGTTTACAGCCAGCTTAATAATGTTCAAGATTCTTAGTCTGCCGCACTTACCAGCATTGTTGTTCGCAGATCAAACTTATGGAAGAACTGCGTGATGAATATGTGTATTTCCAGGACATTGGTCACATCCTTCTTCTCCACATCGCGCAGCACATCGATGAACCACTCGAAGTGCTTGTGCGATGGGCAGATCCACAGGAAGTAGACCTTCTTGCAGGCCACGCCCGAATAGCGATTCGTGCTGGTGCCAAAGACCAGATCGTTGAGAATGGAGGCGTAGGGGGTGACCCCGATGCCGCCGCCCACCATCACGGCCACCTCGAATTTGTACCAGTCCTGGTTGCCGCCCCCAAATGGTCCCTCGATGCGGATCTTGGGCTGATCCTCCGGATTGTAGTTGCAGGGATCGAAGTAGTTGCGCAGCTTCCATGTCCATGGGCCCTGGGCCTTGATGTGGCAACTGAGGCAGTTTTCATGCGGCGCTGAGGTCAACGTAAAGCTGTGCATCTCATGTGGCCGAAAGGCGGTGCAAGACAACCTCACCCACTGACCCGAAAGGTACTTGAGATTCGGTGGTCTATAGAACTTGATCTTGATCACATCGGAGGGCAGCAGATCCGTGTCGATCACATCCAGTGCCATATACTTGGTGCGCAGCGAGACAATCTTGTCCAGGGTGTACACAATGCCTGGGCCTAAGAAGAACATCCAGAAGCGAGGTGGTCCCGTCAATCGAGCCAAGCCGTGAATCAAACTCAGCAGATACAAGCCAATATACAGGGTATGCATGTTCCAGAAGTAATTGTAGGCCTTTTTCCGAATTGTGGGATGGGCAAAGACAAAGATAATGCACATTATGATAAACAACATGACACCTGTAGTCCCGGTGACCGTCTGGAACAGCCAAAAGGTTATGTCCGGCTTGTAATCCGAGGCAAAGTGCACCTCTCTGGTCAGACATCTCAAGTTCTCATGCGACTGCGTGGACACATGATAAAAGTTCACAATGTGACCCACCGTATGGAGAACCGAAAAGAAGAGCGCCGTGCAGGCGGCAATCTTGTGGAACTGAATGTGCGAGTCCAGGGGAATGTACTGCTGGATGGGGAACTCCTTGAGCTTGGTAATCAGATTCCTGGACATGGTCAGCAGGAGTAGGGAATAGCAAAAGGATAGCGAGGCGGCAGAGCCCCTGGTGATGGCGATTCCCACGCCCATGATGTGCCGCAAGTCGGTGTGTTCCGCCATGAATGAGTAGTGAATGAAGCGTTCCACAAACAAAACGATGGTGACCACGTAGAAGAGGAATAGGTAAAAGATATTCTGGCGATTCTCCTCGAGGAACGTGATATAGGCATCCCATTTGGCCAACAGCCAGTGACGTGGCTTATCCTGCATGGGTTCGATATTAAACGAGGTCATCCTAGCCACATTCGTGGAGGTGTCCAAAAAGTTCTGCTTGGCTCCCTTGCAATCCAAACCGATGGCCACAAAGTCACCCTTGTACTCCTTCATCATCAGCTTAAAGTCCTGGTAGGTCAGATGGTTCTTGTGCTCCAGTCCGACATCCTGGAACATGCCATCGATCAGCTCGGTGACCTGGTCATCTCCCAAACTCGTAGTCCTGGCAATCTCCACCAGCGAACGCATCATCTCACTCAGTTCTCCCTTGTCGATTACGCCATTGCGATCATTATCGCACATATCGAAGATAATGCGCAGCTTGTCATCGGTTTTGCCGCGTGAGAAGAGCACCACGGTTTCGAGGAACTCCTGGAAACTGATCCGTCCATCCTGATCCTTGTCCACAATGTTGAACATTTTGCGCACAAACATATCATTGGGTTTCATGCCCAAGGCGGCGGCAAATTCC